ATATATATATATACACAATATATATTCATATATAAATTTAAACACTTTTAGTGAAGAGTTTGCCACAGTTTGCCGGTGCAGCAGCAGTGACATATTACACTTGTGTAACGTGAATGGCAATATTTTTTTGTTCAGTTGCCCAGAAGAAGTGTTACGACAGCATTTTCCACAGTGGACAAGTAATTACAACAGGAAAAAAAGCAGGTGTAATTAATAACTCTCACAATGGCTCACTTCTATTTGTGAATCACAGGATGGTGCAGCAGTGACCGGTACGCTCGCACCAAAGAACGAGAACTGTCACACAAGAATGACAGCAGCTATTATGAAAGATATTATTACACCTTTGCTGTTCCTGCTCTCATATGTCAAAATGTCTTTCATTAATAGGTCTATAACAGTCCATTACTTATTGTCCCATCTATTGAAAGACTACGGGACAGTTTTCAGGAAGTGGGAAAATAGAAGAAATCTGTAATGTTAAATATCTATTTAGTAACATGTTGATGACATATTTGCTAAATTTGCAGGCTGACATCATAGAAACAACACCAGTAGACAGATGTGTCATATTCAGGAATTGATTAGGACAAGTAAGGACCATTAAAAATAGTGCTGTACTTATTGGTAATGGCATTTTTACAAGTACTTGTACAAAATGCCTCGATACCAATACGGGGATACTGCTATCAATACTCCATTGAACGTGTTACAGTTTACATTTCAAGTGAAAAGCTTGTCAGTTATATATTTAAAAAATGGATACAAGCTGAAAGAAAATCTCATTTGTTATTTTTACTCATGTTTAAATATTTCAGTGGTGTATTTGTATTGATCCAGTCAGAAGGGCTAGGCCTATAAGGAAGGAGAGACACCTTGTTCTAAATAAAATAAATGTGTTTTTAAAGTTGTTTTGTTATGATTAGGTTCTAACTCAACAGGTACTTTATATTGGTGAGTGCACAAACTTAAGCACTTATACTCAGTTTAAGAAAAAAATGATCTTGGAACAATTAAAAATAAACTTACAGACAATCTAAATCTTTTACCTATTCATTAGTTTTGAGAAACTGTTTTATTTTCTGACTAATAGGCTAACAGGTCACAATGCCACCTCAAAATATTAACATTTTTCAAGATTTTACATCAATTTGTGCAAACATTTTTTTCCTTCTCATCTGGACTGCTGTTCCAATGTTAATATTAATGTTAAGTTATTGGTATTTATTTATTTATTTTTTTACTGTCGGAAAGTGAAAATGTCATTTTACTTAAAAAAATAAGGAGAGAAACAAAACTACATTTTTATGTTTAGGAAAATAACTGGTTTGAAAGTTAAAAGGGAAGTGATGCTTATTTCTCCTCTCCTGTGCATGAATGAAACTCTGACTTTTAACCTATGCAGTGATGTGGCCACCAGCTATYTGCAGCGGTAACCAATCACACTGTATTCTGTCATATTTATTTGAAAAAAGGACAACTTTTCATTATTATGTAATCTATAGAGGATAGGCCAGTCACTTTCTGTGGACCTGACAAGTAATTTTAGCACATTAGGTAGACCCATCTCCTATTATGCTGCTCAGTGCATGTGTTTCTGAAAGACCAACCTGACAAATTGSTGTTGTGTTTGAAAATCCCATCATTCTGCAGTATTTTTCTGTCATCACCAACACTATAACCATGTCTACTTTTGCTTTAACATTATTTGTGTTTTAGCTAATGTGTCTCAGGAACTATACATGAACACACCCCTGTAATAGTTCATTGAAGAATAAAGTTTGTGGTAAAACATGTGGCTTTATAAGGGCTGTTTCACAAACATCATTAAGAAAAAAAAAAGAAACTCACCCCAAATGTGTCTTCTTCTGGTGGGCCTGAATCGCCTTCAGTGGGCGGATCTGTGACACAGAATCACATGAATAGCATCAGAGGCTCTGGGAGAAAATAAACCATTTCTGGCCTTGGCTTACACCCACACTCCTTTAGAGTAAATATGTATAATGGCTGCATCTTTACCCATTCATTTTATATCCAAGGAAAATATGTTGTAATTATAAAACACAGTTAAAACAAGAGAATAAGAACACTTCTACAAAGCACGAGCACTCTTGCTATCATTTTAAATAAAATAAGCATTAGCGCGTATCACTGCACAGCCTAACTAAATACAATTTGGTGCTTTATAGTGCACGTTATTTTGAGCATATTTTAAATGAATTCACAAAGTAAAATGGTTTCGATAACATTTTAAGATAAATGACACACTGGGTGTATTGCTTTGTGCATTACTCGTGTGTGTGTGTGTGTGTGTGTGTGTGTGTGTGTGTGTGTGTGTGTGTGTGTGTGTGT